AAAAAAAGAAATGAAGTACTGATACATGCTACAACATAGATTAATCTTGAAAATACTATATTATGCTAATTTAAAGTCAATCACAAAAGACCACATACTACATAAATCTATTTATATAAAATGTCCAGAATAGGCAAAGCTATGAAGATAGAAAGTAGATTAATGCCTAAAGCTGGGGAGGAGGTGGTTTTGGGAGGAAACAGGGAGTGCCTGATAATAGGTTTCTATTATATTTAGGTTATAAAAATGTTCTCAAATTAAATAGTCATAATGGTTGAACAACTCTGTGAACAGACTAAAAACCAATGAATTGTACACTTTAAATGGGTGAATTTATGGTATATGAATTATATCTCAATAAAATTGTTATTAAAAAAACAAAAGCCTTAATAGTGGCAGCAGTCAGGTTATGATTACCCTTTGTGGGAGGCAGTGAATGGAACAGGGCTTCTGAGTGTTGATAATGCTCTGATTCTAGATACATGAGTTTGTTCACTTTGTGAAAATTCATCAAATTGTACACTTTTCCTTTTTGTGTCTTGTATCTTGATTTGTGTTTTATAAGACATCTTTATCTTCATAAGACGTTTACTTCTAAAACAAATAGACAAATACATACCAACAGGTGGACCTGCTGGCACAACACATTTCTTTTCCACTCGTGTAGCAGGAGGTGCATTCTGGTTCTTAGCAAGATTTTCCTGTATTAATTCCTGAACCCGGGTTTCATTAATCTTTGGGAAAGGAAGAATATGAACTCGCAAGTGGGATCCTTCTGTTGGGCGTGGAACTTTCTGGAACGCCATATGAGGGTTTGGATTCTCCTGCAACATCATACATATGCACAATTATTTAAAACTTAAAATATCAATGGCAAATTGTCAGGAAGGGAGTGGGAGCTCAAAGGGATACAAACTGTAATCAGACAAATGAATGATTATAATATCTTCATATATATGCCATAAAATAAAAAGTATCCTACTTCCTCTTACCTGATCTATTAACGGCATCTGACATAGCTAGTCACTTGTCTTCCTCTTCTATGAACACTTTCTTCACTTGGTTTTCTAGGTCTTCTTGCTACATCTTTGTCCATTTCTCATCTCCCTAATCTCTTAATTATGTGAATACCTCAGGGCTTAGTCCTAGTGTCTCTTTTTTATTAATACTTACTTCCTTGGTGATCACTTTCCATCTTCTATCTTTAAACCATAAAAACACCAATGATTCACAAATTTTTATCTCTGACTGAGGATTCTCCTGAACTCCATACATACACACATATGTAACTGTTTACATGTAATATTTCCACTTGGATTTAAAATAACATCTTAAACTTATGTCCAAAATGGAGCTCTTAATTTTCAGCCACCTCTAACCCTGTTTTCTTCAGTCTTCCCTGCTTCAGGCAATGGCATATTTATTTATTTTTTTACTTAGGCAAAAAGCTTAGAGTAATCTTTAATACCATTCTCAAACTCCCAATTATCCATTCCTCTGCAAACTTTGTGGACTTTACCTTTAAAATGTTTATAACCTGGCCCCTTTTCATCAATACCTTGGTTCAAGCCCGCACCTCACATTACAGATGTACAACAGTCTCCTAACTAGTTTCCCTGCTGCCACCCTTACCCCCTCCCTCAACACTGCAGACAGAGTAATCTAGTTAAAAGTTTCATCACATAACTATCATCACATAACTATTCAGTTCATTTCAGTGGCCCTACATTGCACTGAGAGTAAAACCTAGTTTCTTAAAACAATTCACAAGGCCCCACAAGATCTGGCCTTTCTACATGAGTGAGCCCTATAGCTGTTTCTTTCACTTCTTCTGCTCCAGACACACAGGCCTTCTTGTTCCTGCCTCAAACCTTTGCACTTAACTATTCCCTCTGTCTGGAATGCCTGTAACCACTATGAATCTGCACAGCATCCTCCCTCCCTTCTTGCATTTCTTTGCTCAAGAGCCACCTTTCCCGACCACCCTACCTAAAATTATATCCTCTCTACCCATCACACTCCATATCCCCCTTATATTTTCTCTACAGCACTTATCACTCTCTCACATACAATATATTTTACTTGTTTATTATCTATCCTTTTCTCCCTAAAATGAAGCTGCATGGGGACAGATACTTCATTCAATTAAAAAAATATTTTTTGTCTTCTGCTGTGTATCTACTGCATCTACAAATTGTCTGGGACAAAGCAGCCACTCTAAACCTCTTCCTGCTGCATCCCAATAAGTGGGACACAATGTGGAACAACCATCAAGATTGCAACACTTGAATTAAATGTGTCAGCTAATAATGTAGACTCTTAGAGCTGGCACGAACTTTTATCCATCAACCTAGTTAAGTAGAATTATATTTCAAATACTTCAGGCAGAGTGGAATCCATTCTTTTATAAAGTTCTCTATGGAAAGCTATTTACAACTATGCTTAGACCAATTGTAGCACTTATCCTTTGCAACCAGAAAATTCCTACTGATCTTAGGTTATTCACATTATAGACTAAACGCAATACTATCGTATACATCCTCTTGACAATGAAAAATGGCCAACTGTCAGCATCTATTAGAGGTGCTCCTAACAGTTCTTTTTTGTTATATGGCCCAGACCCAGATAAAGGAAGGGCTGGGCTAAGGCAGATGATACAGTTAGCATGTCTCAGCAATACAATAGAAAAAAATACTGCTTTAAGAGCCCCAAATCCTGACTTCTAGTTGTTGCTGTACTCCTTATTATGTGATGCTGGACAAATAACTCTGCCTAAGTTATAACTTATGCTTATCTCACAAGGTTCCTCAGAAGGTAAAATCAGACATAAAATTTGTTCTTGCCAAAGTAGTCCTCATATATGCTTTGTATTTTCTCTCTGTATCTAGTGAAGACATGGAAAAATAAATATGTAAATTCTCTCTCCCTTTCTCTCTGTATTAGGTTTAGGAGGGCTGTCCAGAAAGTATCCAGCCATTATA